AGGAACAAGGACGGTACTAGGAACAAAGGGTATTTCTACTAGGGCAACAAGCTACTAGTAGCTCCTGGCATCGCTACTAGGAATAAGGACGCTACTAGGAACAAATGGCATTTCTGCTAGAAGCAAGAAGCAGGTCGCAAGGTAAGCCGACGCGAGCTAATGATAACCGTCAGTAGACAGGAATTCAGAAGGGAATGCTTGGGGGTGATGTCAATTTTTGGTTTGTCCAGACTGTGTGCAAATGGGGTTGGCCCTGAAAATCATAAAAGGGGTTGGCACCCTGTTTTTTTTTGAGGAGGGATGGTTGCCCGTTTTTTTTTGTAGTCCCAGCTGCCAAGAAAAAAGGTTGGAAAACTTGCCTACACGACTGTTGTTTGAGCCCGCTTCATCAAGTGAGCCCTTCAAAAGAGTCGTGTTATATAATTCAAGCGATTGTGTGTCTTTGTGTCAAACCGGGTCAAATAAAATCACTTAAATCAAACCAAGCCAACAATGAGCAAATGCATAAAGCTTGGGTCTCAATGATTCCTTTTTTGGACAACTCTGCTTGAAGAGAGTAGGGAAATAGAGAAGGCTCAGGAAACTGAAAAGGCGCCCAGAAGCTTGGATTTTGATCTTGTGGCAACTGTTGATGATCTTGCAATGTTTGGCCACCTGAAAAAGCATGTGCTAAATCATTAGTTCAGGTTAGAGGTTGTGTACGCTGGCTACCACAAGAATTACAGTATGTTGTGAGGTCATATTGTTTAGTGCTTGGCTTCCTATGGTTTTATTTAGGTTTTTACCTTGGCTACTCTGAATCTATTTCATTTTGGGGGGGTCCCAGCCCCTTTGTCCATCATGGAACAGCTATAATGCATGGACTGGCCAATGTGGACAGACCATGAGCTCATGGACATCGGGGTGTGGATCATGCACTCTGCGGGATGACTATTTTTTTGTTCTGAAGCCTATGAAATATATATAATATACATATATATATACATCCATATCCGGCTCAAGCCATTTCTGCTCAAGTTCCGGCTTCCGTATCCTCGGGGACTTCTCCCACGGCATTGGCACTTCTTCCTTGCTTCACGTCCTCGTGTTCCTCCCTTTTGAGGACCTCTTTGGCATCTGGCCCTGCGCTCTTACCGTATGACTTGGACCAGAGCCTACCAATGCTGCGGCAAAGCCAATTGCCAGAACTGGATATGGGAAGACCGCATACAAGCCAATTTTACCTGTCGTCTTTGCGGCACGCCCTGGAAGAAGCCAGCTCATGGCTTTGCTCAGGCTGGTGACCGGAGATCTCCGAGCTGGACCAAATCCAGACCCAGACAGGTGACACCACCTCCAGGACTTAGCCCAAGTAGGCCACCTCGGTCCTCCAAGCTTCAGAAGACTGCTTCAGAGATTTTGGCTCCGGCCTGGGACTCGCTCGATGAGACCTTTTGAGGACGAAACTCATGCAGGTTGGCATCAATCCCTCACCCAAGGTTGTCGAGCCAGACTTAACTGATGTCCTCAAGGAGAACCTGGCCAACCTCCCAGCTCCAGTCAAGGAACTGGTCGAGAAGATCACCAAGCCTCAGCCTGAGACTGAAAAGGGCATGGCGACCAGATTGAAGCAACAGGTCACAACACTACGAGACATCTCTCAAAACAAGCAACTCTTGCAGCAGAAGATTGACAACACCAAGAAGCACTACCAGGAGCTTTTGGACGAAATGGAAACTCTGCAAAGCAAACTTGAGCAGGAACAGGCATCCCTGAACACCATCAGCACGGCTTACCTCACCAAGGTCAGTTCCTCACAGGCTGAAAAGCCTCTCCAACCTCTCGAAATCGAGATGGATGATTCAGTGCCAGCTGCAGTAGCTGGCTTTATCAACACCCTTGGAGTCAGCCTCACTCAGGAACAAAAAGATCAGCTGCACGTCATGCTCAAACGTCCCTCGGTTGATGCTGAAGTCACAGATGAAGAGGCCAAACGCCGTAAGACCGAGCTTGGCAATGCAGCGTCGTGTGGGTAGCCTTTTGCCTTCACCGGCATTTCATGACCTTTCGCTTTCACACAGGGAACTTCCGTCATGCATTTCAGTCCATGACTTGGGGCTTTCTCAACTGGCATGCAGGGGCATTGCATTCACAGTTGATCCTTTGCTTTCAGGCTCAAGTTCGGGCCTTTCTTCACCGGGGACGGGCTATGGTCCATACAGACCATCCTTGATGAAGCTCAAGGTTTTTGGAGGGGCTCACCCCTCTCAGGAGGCTTTGGCAGACCGGTTAGTCGAGGCACCGTGCTCTACTACCTCTGAGCAGCTCCCTCGAGAGACTGTTTCCTACGGGACCTCGGCTGTCCAGTCACTGGCCCACCTCCTCAACATGGAGGATGACAATGACTCCTCCTTGACCTTTGAACAACAGACTCTTTTTGATCTTTGCAGCAACGATTTGCACACATCTTGTCAACGATATGGCAGGAGCCCCACTCTTCAAGGGGGGCATCAGCTTCTAATGGACCTGAAGCGGATGCAGAACCTCATCCAGCGCCATCTCAGTGTTTCTGGGGAAGTGGAACACTCGGTGGCAAACATCTTCGTTGTCTCTCAATGCCTCACCAGTATCCTGCACAATGCCAGGAACCTGTGCTATGGGAATGCGCCATGGCGCTGCTGGTGCTGGACGGGCGCTTTTGCTGAAGATGTCACTCAAGCCTGGGGCAACACCACTCTGGCTGTCCGGCAATACCTGTCAGACAACGAGCCGCAGCTGCTAACAGGTCTCCAAGACATGCAGCACATCTGGGCGCAATTCGATCAGGAACAACAAGCTGACGCTGTTGACTTCCTTCACGCCCTGTGGACCTACTCCGGCAGCTCTTTAGGACACACTGAGGAAAGAGAGCAATTCCCCTTGAACTTCATCTTTCCTGACGGAGATGGCCCGCTCTCTCTTGACTCCTTGGTCAATCTATGGGCTGATGAGGGCCGGGGGCAATTTTTGTATGGCTTTCCTCAACCTCCAACGCTCCACTCTGCAAGATGGCATCTGGAACTTGACACCAAGGTCAACCTCCCCTTCTCTGAGGACGGCCAACATGTTCACATGGCCACCCATCAGGTTGTGGGTTTGGTGCTTCATCAGGGAGTCTCACACGAGAATGGGCACTATCAGACCATTTTGGCCATCGACAACATCTATTGGCTGGCAGATGATGGGACTTTTCCCACGCCTTTGCCTCAGCTTCGCCTCCAGCAGCGCAAAGAGATCTCCCAGATCTGGCTCGCCGCAGCTCCCAAAGATGAACTCGTCTCTGACACTGCTCTTGAGGTTGCTGAGTACCTACCGAAGAAACCTAGGACCTGCCAAGAAACGCTCTACATCACCTTCAGCAATGTCACCTACTTTGGCAAGAAGGTGCAGGACTGGGTATGGGCTCAGGGTGACACCATCATGCTCTTCCAGGAAACGCACCTTCAGCAGAAAGCCCTGGACACCACTCTGCAGTACTTCACCTGCCGAGGTTGGAAATGTCATGGAGTTGCGGCTGAACCAACTGGCACTGGGGGCTCGACTGGTGGTTTCCTCACCTTGCATGCCACCAGGCACTTGATTCACCACGTTCACGCCTACACCAAGCACGGCAATGGGTGGACGGCACTGGCCATGCAACGTGATGGCCTCGAGCTTTACCTTATTCAGCTCTACCTCCGCACTGGGGAACCACTTCAATCTCCCCTCAATGCCGAACTACTGGGGCAACTTTTGCAGTTTCGCACCCTTCATCATTGGAGGTGACTGGCAGACGGCACCTGAGGACCTTGCTGCCACCACGATTCCCAGCAAAGTTCCGTGCTCAGATCTTGGCCACTCCTGGTCCCACGACTCTGCAGGGCAGTCACCTGGATTTCATCCTGGCGTCCACTTCCATTGCTTCAGCCCTCCGCCTTGAAGCTGACTGGGAAGTCCCTTGGAAGCCGCACTGTGCCTTGGCTCTCCAGTTCGATTGCGCCCAAGCTGCGGTGCCGGTTCAACAACTTCAGCGCTTTCCTCCCATTACCAGAAACTACCATCCAAAGCATCTCTGGACCAGCTTCAATGAGGAGGATGGCCCCTTTCACATCATTGGGCAGAACATCACTGGACTTGGGTCCGACTTTGCGAGATGGGCCACACAAACCGAGAAGTACCTCACTCAACACCTGCACAAGCCAGTCACTGGTCGAGGCTCCCAGGTACGACTACATCAAGCTCCTCTGGCCAGCTCCACTAAGCCAAGGGTGTGGAAGAAGGGCAGTGCGGTCTTTTGGGAGAAAACGGGCATTAAGATCAACCTGGCCAATCATGGACGATATCCAGGGCTCCTTCAGGACCTCAAGGATATGGTCACAAGGATCCCCCAGCATGCCTCAAAGGAGATGGACCAGAACAGCTTTGAGGAACGCCTGCTCCAATGGGTTTTCGGCGGCAACCCTGATCCGGAAGACCTTCTTCACACTGTTCAACAAGAACTCCAACATGCTCAGGAGCAGCCACCAATCATGAATTCAGGGAATGGTTGGAGAAGGCTCACGACAAAGGCCTACGGGGACTCTTTCGTAGCCTGCGGCAGAAAGATCATGCTTCGCAACGGCCCTTCCAAGATCTGCCTTCCACCTCCCGCATCCAAGCCAGAGCAAAACAGTGGGGAGACATCTGGATCCCTCTTGAGGAACCTTTGCAGATACGAGGCCTTCAGGAGCTGAAGAGAGTTGCCCAGGCTCACGCTCAGCAGATCAAGGCCATCGACTCCAGCCTCCTTCAGAAACTCATGAGACGCCTCCCCAACAAGGCTGCCGGCCCGGATGGCATTTCGTACGATTTCCTTCGTCATCTTCCTTACCCAGCTGTCGAAAAGCTGGCACGACTCCTCACTGAGATGGAAAAGGAAGCTGAACTCCCACTTCAATTGAGGCACACCAACATCATGATGATCCTAAAGAGTGAACGCATTGAGCACCCTATTGCACTCACATCCTGCCTCTACAGGCTTTGGAACAGCTACCGCAAGTATGATCTTCACAAGTGGCAACTGGGTCTTGACAAGGACATGCCCTGGGATCACGCCAGACCTCACAAAGACTGCCTCTCGATTGCGGTTGGGCGCATGCTCAAAGCGGAGATCGGCAAGCACCAGGGCATACACACGGTCACTTGCCTTGCAGATCTCACTTGCTTCTACGACACGGTGCAGTTGGATCACCTCATCGAGCCCGCCATGGACCTCGACTATCCTCCTCTACACCTCAAGCTGGCTCTGGACCTGTACACAGGACCCAGGTTGATCCAAGCCGAAGGCATTGCAGGGGATCCCCAGTACTACCAGAAGGGCATCCTTAAGCCTGGCGATTGCCAAGTTGGTGCTTTTCAGACCGCTCCGTGCATTGGTTCACCAGCACCCTGCAGTCCTTCTGCAGACCTGGGTCGATGATGTCTCCTTCGACATCAAGGGCACTGACCCTGACTACGCTGCCAGAGAGGCGGTCCTGGCCTTCCGGACCTTGCAATCCAACCTGGCTGCTGAAGGTCTCAAGCTCAACACCGAGAAGACCGGCTTCATCACCAGCAGCAAGGAATCAGCCAAGGCCCTTGATGCGCTGCTCCGGGAAGACGATCCCAAACACCACAACATCCTCCGGGACCTCGGCATAGACGCCACCAACTCCAGGCGTAGACGGATCACCCAGATCAAAAAGCGCTTCCTCAAGGGAAGAGGCCGAGTTGGGATCATGCTTCGACTGAAGCTGGGCAGTGCAACCAAGTACAGATTGCACCGGGGAGCGATACACCCAGTCATGTCTTCGGGTGCCCAAGCGAACGGACTGGCTCCCCAACGACGTCAACAACTTCGAGTCTTGGCTGGACGAGGTTTGGGACTTCAGAGATCTGGATCTGTTGATGTCGTTTTTGACATGCATCCAGATAAGAGCGATCCTGGAGATTCAATCATCCTTCAGCACATCCAAACGGTTTGGAAGGTCCTGCACTCCTTTGACGAAAGTGCACAGAATCTCTTCTGGATCAGCTGGAACTCTGCCCTGGACCTTCTCCTCAAGGCCAAACATCGATGGCAGGTTGTGACGGGCCCTCTTCAGGCACTTCAAGCCTACCTGTTGGACTATGACTATGACTTTGACATCTCCAACGGCAAGCTTTGGAAGAGGACGGGGTACGGCGGCATCCCTGACTGCACCATCAGCCTGGAGGCGCTGTGGCCTGAGATCCAGCGCAAGTTGACTGAGGAATTCCAGTGGCAACGATTGCTCCGTCTAACCAGGTACGAGGGCTGCCACGACCTCGAAAGGAAACTGGATTGGACAGTCAGCAACTCTCCAGAAGATGACCAGTGAGAAGGCAGCAATTGGCATCCGAGCGTTACATCAAGGAACTCTGCATGGCCAAACTGGCAAGTGTCCGCTGTGTGGAGTTGAGCTGACTTTCACTCACCTCCTCTGGGAGTGCAGTTTCTGGGAAGGGCGAGTTCAAGCCTTTGCCTGACCAATGGCGAGACCGGATTCAAGCCAACACTGAGCCGGAACTCTGGAATCGAGGGATGACGCAATCCATCTTCTACATCCAGGACGGCGGTATGGCCACCTTTTCCGGGGAAGGTTTTTGGGCAGACCTGGAAGCTTGCAACCTGCCTGCTGGTCACGCTGTGTCCTTGGCTGTGGCTCCCACCTCCAGGGATCCAAGACATCGACGCTATGTCTTTGCCATCTGCATCCACCAGGTCTTCACCAAAGAACGAGTAGCCTCCTTGACTGGCATCTGCCCGGGGAAGGCCACACGCCTACGGGCCTTGTTCTATGGCTTGAAACATTTTTCGCTCCACATCAGGGACAAGGTCCATGTGGCGGTCTTCCAGCACTCCATTTGGAAGAACTGGTCCTTCATGGCGGCCCACGAGCAATTTCCTGACCTCAGCCTGGGCCTCGAGCATGAAGATGTTGATCAAGTTCGACTTCTCCTCTTCAGTCGGCATGAGATGGATTCCAACCTCAACAGGAAGGCCTTCCAGCAAGACACCCAGGCTAAGGCCACTCAAGCTGCTCTCTTGGCCAGGCCAGAAGAGATCATTGACCTTCAGAAGCACATAGACGAAGACACAAGAGATTTCTCAGCGTAGCAGGCAACAGGATGAACGTTCTTCTCACCTGCAAAGAGCACTTTCTTCACAACAAGGCTGCCATGGCGGACAACTCCAAAGTCCCCATGGTACAACAGAAGAAGGATCTCTTGTCCTGCTTCATCAAGGACCCACAGGCACATGGCCACCAATGGCAGGTCTACAGATCGGGAGTCCAATGTGGCCGCTGCCGGGCGCGCCAAATCGATGATCAAGGAGCTCCGTGAAGGCCTCACTTCACCTTGTGCTCAGGCTGCTCCCACACAGGCTCACAAGAAGACCCGTTTTGAGGTCATCCACGACCTTCTCGAGAGTCAAGGGGAGGCCAAACCAGGCACTCATCACTTGAGGTTGGAGAAAGCGTACTTACGCTGCACCCTCTGCCGCAGCTACGTGTTGGCAAGGGCTGGTGAAGACATCTTCAACCGATTCCTAGGGGAAGTTTGTCACCACGGCCCCTTAGCAAGTGATCTCTGGCAGGGACATCCTACACACCAGATGTTGCGCACCGGAAAGGTGGTTGAGTGCCAAAAGTGCCATGCAAGAACACGCATGCAGCACGACAAGGTCATCCTGAACGACAAGCTCCGCCGCCGTTGCCAGGCTACAACCTCTCAGGACATTAGGAAACTGTTGGCATGAGCCCAACCCGACTTGCTGCAGCAAAAGAGCCGGACAAAAAAAAAATACATCCATATCCAAATACATCATATTGTACGGTGTTGGTATTGTATGTTGTGTTGTTTTTATCAAAAAGTTGTGGTTGAAAGAGTGGCAGCACATCGAGGAAGAAAAATCAATTGTCATTCATGATTGACAGGGAAGTTTTTTTGTTTTTTTAACATACTGCTCAATTGTCCGCATTGCTTTTGGACGCGCTCTGTGGAAGCGCTGTGGCACACTTTCAGGCCTCTACAAAAGCCGTATTGATGTGTCGGTCCAAACTCTACGTGATTGACGGAGCAATGTCCAATAGGTCCAACGGAGTGTGTCCAGAGTTTGTCTAATCACTCATTCCAATTGGTCTCCCATCACGGGTGAAAAAGGCCACAGAAAAGAGGTTAAAAGGAATAGCAATATGCGTTGTTATATGTTTATATTTAGTTTAGTTGCTGTACTGGGTGGTGGTTTCAGATATGTTCATGTTCAACTTTTACTTGGGATGATGATGGGTCACCCACAGGTCCGCATATGTTTCAAGTCAACTAAAACCACCAAGCTGCGTATATATATATATATATTTAATTGCACAACTCCTGTTCAGCTGGGATATACATCACAGCACTTTAGGAGGTGGTGCAGGATCACCCACCAAAAGTCAAAAAAAAAACTGAACCCACACGTGATGCATTTGAGTTATCTTCAAAAGCGATGGTTGTGCAGAGATGATAGGAATGTAATGGAATGTAACTTCAGTTTTGGATGCTTGGGCAAATGACCATTCTTGGTATCACGTCCCCGCCGGGGATTAGGGGAATGTCCGTTCACACATTTGCTCGAGGCTTTACAAGTGAGTCTGTGAGTCTTGTGTTGGAAGATTTCTCACTGCAGCCTTCAGCTAGTTGTTTTCTTTCTGAGAGTTCTTTAAGAGACTACCATTAAATGAACATCATACCAAAAGCAGGGAAGAGGGAGGGAGAGAGGGAGGGAGAGAGACGGAGAGTAGTGTATTCCCTGAAAAACCAACCTTTTACACATGATCCATATGAAATCTACTATCAACTAATCTACCTTGACTCAATTCTTGGGTGTTTTTGTCTTCCCAAAATGGAATCCTGGATTGTGAGTTTTCTGCGACATCGTTTTTCAGGAGGAGATGGTGGAGGCACTGATGGAAAACGGCTATGAATGCGGCATGGCACTACGTCGCTGTGCTGCAGTGGCGGGGTGAGGATGTGGCCCTTTAGCAGATAGAGTACCTACGATTCCATGTTTCCGTGCTCCTGCAGCTTACGTGCTAGAACGGAACTACAATTATTTGGTTCTTCTGTCTTCAACTCAAGGTTCCTCAAATGCATTGGGCATTTATCAGCCTGTGGCTTTGCAAATGATATACATTATATATACAGTAGTACATACAGTGAATGTTTGCATTTATAATGCCCCAGATGGATTGTATGCTTGCCGGGAAAACCGTTAGCACGTTGGTCATCCGGTCCTTTTCTTTAGCGTTAGAGTGAAATCCAGCCATCCACTACTAGACTTGAACTCGGTCCCAACATACAAACATTCAACAGGGTGGAATCTTATACTGGTTATATATATATATATGTTGTAGTAATGCGTGTGATAGCTCCCCAAACACTGTAGCGCACCTGCAATCGCAGCCTTCCCTAAAATCGGAAGTTCTCCTACTCGAAGGCCTTCACAAACTTCACAGACCTCCCAGTTCATGCTGAGGAACACAAATCCTGCCATACGCGGTTCGATGGTACACTGGAGAAGCAGCACCAGATGATGAGGATGATGAGGATGGATGACCCGTTTTTTTTCTGGTGAGTCTCTAAGAAAAATGACGCACACAAAGCCTGCACCGCTGGTAGACTCGGGTGAGCCATTGCAACCCATGATAGATATTGAGAGTTTATAGTCTAGAGTCTAGAGTGGAGCAGGATGTTCTCCGGCAGCAATTGTCTCATGGGAGCTCTGGCACGCCAGAATCAGAAGCAGTTAACAACCATGTTTGTTGATGGTGGGTCAGCATGGTTGATTTTCTCTGACACCCGAATTATGCAGGGGATTGTATCGATCAGTGCTATTGATCCGTGCTATTGTTTTTGAAAATCAATCTGGAGGATCCTGGCATTTACTCAGGTATACTGACCGAGAAAGTGTAGAGGTTGACACCATGTTTCTTTGGAGTTCAAGAGATCCGGAGGTCTTCGAACCTACCCAGGAAGTATACGTTGATATGCATGTGTTCGGGTATTTGGGGACACCCAACAGATGGACAAATCCAGAGGGGGCAGTGATTTGTTGCATTTCAGCTGATTTGCAGGACTGGTCGTGTTGTCCAGTTCCGATGTCACAGGTGAAAATACCAGTGTTGTCACAGGTGTTGTTTTGCCATGCTGGCATTGACATGTTGAGTCATGTTGTTTTACAAGGACCTGTCAAGACAATCCTTATATATGTGTTTCTTTGTCGATGGAATGCAATTGGTTCAAGACTATGTCGATTACAAATCTTCAGGAGGAAGAGGAGGAAGAAGAAGAGGATGACGATGAGGTGGACGTCGAGGTAGCGGGAGTGCATGAAGGGATTGGATCTTGCTCATGTCTGACAAAAACTGCTCAGTTCATGGTACAAATGAAAAGTAAGTTTTAGCCGAGGCTTTTGACTTTCTGTTCCATGGTGTATCCTTCTAACCTGCAAAAGACAATGCCAGCTCGTCTGAAAAGGTTTTGAGGTGTTTGAAGAGACCCTTGGACTCATGATTTTGAGGGCACCTCAAAAGACCCTGCCACTGCACAGGGAACCGTAGCTTCTGGGGGGGCATCTTGGAACAATCGGTTCCCTACTATAGGTATATTATATTACTATAGTGGAAGATCAAGAGCCTGTGCAATGATGCTTGCTCATGAACCTGCACAAATCCGACAGGGTTGAGCACTATAGCCTATAGCCACTATGCTATGCATCACGTTCATGCCACTGAGTCACTTATAACCAACAAAAGGTGAATTGTTCTTTTTGTTTGGCTGGATTGTGATTATTTCTAGCGTAAGTGGTTCATTGGAGGTTCCTGGCGGATCGAAGCTCCAACAATGTTTGTCTTCGCAGGAGGACGCGAGACAAGAAAGAAAGGCTAAGAAGAAGGCAGGCTGAGTGTAGTATGGACATGTATGGACCATTTCTCATAGGCACGTGGCGGTTCGACCAGCAGCTCCCCTCGCAAGCGATCCTCGCAATGCCTGGGCGACAAGCGTCGTGAACTGGCAACGGTCGTGAAGTGGCGGCGATGGCGTCAATCGGGGTCCCGCAGAGGGGATGAATAAACATTTCAATAGCAATGGCCTCCAACCTATCCAATCGTTTTTCGGTGTGTTGAAGAGGGGATGATGGATGGTGTCTACCAATAAAAGTCCTGGAGTGACGTGTCCCGCTGAAGCCGTAGAAACCGTAGTGTCAACTCCTGAGGCTCCGAACTCGAGGGCATCAGTCTGTCCGAACCCGCCGGCCGAACTTCTTTTTCTCCGAAGCCGAGAGGAAGCGAGGAACCGGATGGGAACGTTTTGCGGATTGAACTGGTTTTGCGGATCACGGGATCGCTATTTTCCCACACTGGGTGAATCATTTTCGTGATTCCGAACAAGCATATCAAAGTTGAACTGCACGGCACGCAATCCCAGACACGAGCCACCTATGGGACTGGCATAGCCAAACCGATCGGGGTGTGATTGAAATGGAATCGACGGGGCAGCATATATTCCAGTCCCATCGATCGTGAATGTTAAATGTTGAGGATGATTCTGTGGGACCAGGCAACCCCAGTTACCGGCGAGACTACCGGCGAGGAAACCACAAGATTTGTCCATTCCCACTAATTGTTCTATACATCGAGAGGGTCGGGAGTGGTATTTGTGGCTAGAATCCCAAGCAACCCGGTTTTTGATGGGAGTAAAGGTTCTGTACAATAACATTAACTGGGGTGTGTATGGTTGCTTCATGCTTGAAACGACTTGTTGCTGGAGCTGTTCGTCATTGGATCCTTGATGGATTTGCTAAATATCGAAGCAGGAAGCCCGTTCTTGACTGGTTCGGTGACTGGGTCAAACGTTGACACTCCAACAATCATGGGACTGGACTGGACACTCCATTTGTATCCATTGTAGTGAAAGAACATTGCTCTTCTATGAGGCCACGGTCCACTTGGTAAGTCTACTTATATACTGTAATCCTTTTCCCCAGTGGGTGACTGCCCGAAAGATTTTGGATCCATAGAAATGTGTTTGCCAGGAGAAGATTGAGCAAGCTGCGCAGGAGTGCAAACAGCAGTGAGAGCAGTGATCAACGGAGGCCCAAAACCGGCCTCTCCTTCTGGGCAGAATTGGGTGTTTGTGGGTCAGTCTCGTCAAGAACTCTGGCCCCGCTGGGTGCGCAGCAGCGCGAGCCTGGCTTGCTCGCAAGCAGCGGGAGCTCGAAGAAGCAGAAGACCAGGAGCCACATGTCTTGGACACCCCAAGCTATGGCAGGCTTGGTGACCTTACTAGGGAAGACAAATGAGTTTGTCTACGTTTCCGGATGCCCATGATAGGAAGATATCATCTCAGTTGATAGGCCTGTGTGCCTGAGGATAGGAAATCTTTCAGTGTGCTGCGCACCCCAAAAATCCCCAAAATGGAGACTGCAATCTTCAATTTTGAAGGGTATTATGGAGACTGCAGGAATATGTAAGAATGCTTGTTGGTTTTGATGAGCAATTCCCAAGACACTGAAGCATTAAACATCACACCAGCACTAGAACCCTTTCTGAACTTGTTAGCATGGACATTTGCAGAAGATTTGATGTTACAATGTCATCATGGACATCAAATCTTCTGGACGTTTGCGTTTTAGTTTTAGGTGTTAAGCGGCGTTGCCAGTCGTGATGTGGTAATGAACTAGAATTCACTGGCGATGGACGAGGAAACTGCCCCAATAGCACATAAGAATCACAGAACTTCCTTCTCACTAATGAGGGCTCAGGGCCTCAGACGAAAGAGAACAGCAATGTATATGTTTCTCGAAGCATCTATGAGACTGTTTGAAAGAACATCATACAGCAAAACACACGGTGATTCAATTCTCCACTTTTGATACTCTACTCCACAGGAGAACGTACAGCAGCATGTCTGGGAACTACCAAACAGTCTTGACTCGCATGCCTGATCTGTGTGACTCATTAGTGCGTAGATCAAGCCCGTGATCCGTTCAGGCCAAGAAACATTGGTGTACTTTAGTTTCACTCTCAACTGTACTTATCTATATATATATAGAGTAGTATTATATACACATATACCTTGTGCCGACCATCAATTGGCTCAAGAAACCGGTGCACCATCCTGGTTGAAAGAGTTGGTCCTTCAACTCCATCGAGAATACCCTTTTTTGTTCGGCATGATCAATGTGGGTGTTGGCATCGGGGTAAGCGGAGCTTTGATGTCAGTCTTTTCGCGGTCCAAACCGTAGATTGCCTTTGCCTTGGTTGGTTGGTTGGTTGGTTGGTTAACAGAGGGGAACCCCCCAAGTCAACAACAAAATGGATATGGTACTAGTTACTAGATCGACCCCTCTATTATTCCCAAAATAATGTTCTACACTTCCACAGCACCAAAATGATTGACTTTCTACTATGGGTGAGCCAATGTATACCACCGCCCATTCAATCTGCTGGAAACCGTCCTTTCAATCTCAATCTGATGACGTCCAGCACTTGTTCACACGGTGGCAGCAGGTGATATCAGGTGGTGTTTAAGCAAGCAGAAGAAGTCTATCAATGAACGGGTACATTTTCTCGGAGGAATCAAGAACTGAAATGCAGACTGCGTCTTGCTCAGATCTGTGAAAGACTCGTCCATCAGAACACAATAGAACTGAACTTGCACTATGTATATATATATTTGGTATTATTGTAGTTGATCCATATTTATAGAATGCATGTTCAATTTGTTTGAGACCCTGTTCAATACGGAACCTTCAGCAACTCAGCAACTCATGCTCCACACCAATGCTTTGGCCTTCAGTTCGGGGTGCGATACGTCAGCCCTCAAATCACCACTCCGAACCGCGCTCCGGGCGCTCCGGTATGCCCCATAAGCAGCGCCTTTCATCGGGAGCAACGTGGAGAGTGCAAAAAGATGTCCAGCTCAGTGGTCCGCATATTCTGCCGAAGTCAGGCTGCATTTAGAATGTGCCGAAACAGTTGTGGAATTGCTTCGTGTCCCAGTTACGAAGACCTCCAGAGTTTCGTGCTGTTTTTCAGCATGCAAGCGACGAGCCCCTTTTTGACGTGTGTTCGGTAACCTGTGTGTGACTCCGTGCTGAGACAACTTCGTTCGAAAATACAGCAGCCACTTCGACCATCATATCGATCCTGTCCCGACATTGGATGTTGTGCAGCAGGGAAGTCGCTAACGACCCGGAGCTCAAAGGAACCACGGATGCCAATTTAAATGGCTCCAAATCATCTATATTGGTTTAGATTGTGATCAGTTTGTTTATCCATGTTGGGAATGCTGTCCATAGATGGCTGATCCAACCACAGCTTGAGACATTGTGTCAAACCAAGCAGTCATATTTGCCTTTCTACGAGCAGGAACAATAGCACGTCTTCCCATTCCCAAAAAACCACAGATGTCACATGAGCGGTATGACCCTCACAAATAGACCAGATGGAGATGAAAGGGCAAGCCATTTGGAATTATCTACCTGCAAGTTTTCCCGATATCATGACGTGTCATCTCAGACGAAACACATGCAAACAGTCTTTATGGCTTCACTCTGCTCCACACAAATCCTATGGCCAGGGGTTAGGCTAAACTATCGCAAAAGCCCTGACTTCATGGCTTGTTCTTTGCCAGTCTCACTGGGTATCTCGTACTATAAATGTATAGACCCTTACAATGATCAAAGGAAAGACAAACTTGTGTGCCGCCATTCCTGCTATATGAATGACGTTCTGAAAAGACAAATTGAACTGCGCTTCAAGGTGTCAAAGGCATCCAAATGTTTGATTCTGTTTAGCTGTTGCTTCCTTGGGCTCAAGCCAAAGGCTGCAACACTCACAGCAGAACCCGGTCAGTGCCGTCATGGCGCGACGCCAGAGATGCATCGCCGCATCGCTCCCGGCACTCGTCAGTCTCCTCGCTCTCCTCGTCGCGGTCTGGGCCAATGCGCTGACGACCTCTTTCGCCATTCCCACCGGATTTCTGAGGCACGTCTCTCCAACCTCCGGACGGATGGCCACCAACGTTGGAGGAACGATGATTTCTTCATCACTGACACTAGCCTCAGGAGGCGTTGTTCTGGCTCTTAGCCTTTTGCCCAGAAGATCAAGCACCTCCCAGACCCTGAGAGGGGCGAAAGGCGAGGCAGAGGGGAAGATTAAGCTCTTTTCCCCTGCGAAAGTGAATCTTTTTCTACGGATTATCCGAAGAAGGCCAGATGGCTATCACGACTTAGCAACTTGGGTTGAACACTTAGTACTTCAAATCGGTTTTTTACATCATTAAACTGTTTCTTGATCCACTAAATGCACCTGTCTATGACTTTCTACTTGTTACAACAACTGATGCGGGCTCCCATCTTCAGGCTCAAACCTCAAGTGCCAGATGCGCTAAGGACTCTAGTGTGTTGTCAGTTAATTAGTCAGTCCTTCATGTTCCAGACCTGACTTTTTTTCCTATCCGAAAGCCCGTCCGTCCGTCGTCCGAAGTCCGAGGCATCGTTGTTTCACACGGTGGCGTTCAGTGATAGCCTAGAAATCAAGGCCTGGTAGTGAGCAATGCGTCCAGTGTTGGTGTACTCAAGCCGCGATTTCAGAAACCAAAGGGACGACCATATACGGGTGCTTTTTGCATGCTTTTGTGCTGAAGAATTCTTGGATAGATATCCTAATCACCTCGCTTTTTAAAATTACAAAGCTAGAGCAGTTGGCCTGAATTGCAATCGTGATGAGAAAGCATCTAGTTAGGCGTATTGTGTTCTCCCGCCCACCCGCCAATATGTCTTCATCCTTGCCAATTTGGGAACCACATGTGTGGCCAGATGTGACCACCAATGGATTCCTGTCATTACAGATTCCTAAACGATCTCTATTTGGCCACCCCAGCTAGTCTTTGGCTTTGTGTGCTTTTTCGTGCAAAATCATGGCATGAGTCTTTCTTTGGAGAGAGAGAGAGAGAGAGAAGAGAGAGAGAGAATCTCGAGATGCTGCCTGGTATCTCCTTTTTTTTGGAAGAATCTCGAGACTCAGCAAGGCAGACATTGTCCACATCCGAATCCGGAAGATCCCCTGAACAGCACAGGACCATGCGCTCCCCGCGCAGGTCCTGCCGGATGCTGAGAAGGACGCTTTGGAGTGCAACTTACCCGGAGTGTCCGGGATCCCTGCTGGCGGTGTTGTTGTGCTAGGTTTGTTTGTATAGTACAGTGTGTGTGTGTATGTATATATTATATATAAATAACATGTTTTTATTGTTGTTTGTGTTGGTCAAAAGGAGGTTTCAAAGGACTGATCATTGGATGGGCGCATAGCGAAGTAGTCTTTGACAAACATGGCCTTAGTCACAGGCTGGAGCAATGATCCGTTAATATCCATTAAACACATACATCCTCTTCATTCATGACCAAGAGGAATCATCATCGTCGTCATCATCGTCCCAACAGGTGGTACATGATTGGGGATACCCCACAAAATCACAAACTCATTGGAAAAAGCTGTTATTAGGAGCAAGGACGCCACTAGGGGCTCCTGGCATCGCTGCTAGTAACAAGTGCCTTACTACTAGTAACAAGAAGCTAGTAGTAACAAGAATTAGTAATTAGAATTAAGTTTAATGAAACGGAGTGTAGCTGTAGAGAGACCGACCGGCGTTCCGACGTTCGGTTCGGAACATCGGCGGAGGCCGGTGGACGAGTCCAACTTAGTCATTCGAGCCTTGAAGCGCGGGGTCTCGAGCGTCGGCTAGCATGTCTAGCTGGGAATGGCGGGCAAGGAGGAGGATGGGAGTGTTCCTTTCTATAAGGATCCCTGATCCCACTGCATCGTAGTCTGCATCGTAGTCTGCATCGTTTGAAGGGAGTTGGACCCTTACTCCAAATTCACCTGAAGTATCTCCAGACACCAACCTGAAGCTATGTAGATTGTTGGGAGATTCTTTGGGTGCCATGGTTGACAATTCCAACCGTCGTTGGCGCAATGTTCCGCACAATGTTTTTCACCGCATTCAAGGACAGAACATCTAGACATATTGAGAGAGTACCTGATTTCACCGTGACAGAAGTGCTTGTGTATCTTGTGTCATGAATCTTCATAGAGGGTGTTTGTGTTTTCTTCCAGAATTCCTGCGACATGAGTTTGGTCGATTGGCCTCCGGTTGGGAAGGGAATCCGGTGTAAGGAAACCTCTCGCTTTTGTTGAAAACTTCAGACTCCGAGAGCGACCAACAGCATGCCTTCAGCCTGCCTTCATCCGGATGTTTCTTGGGTGATGCTTATGTTCCCTATGGATGAATCCCCCACATCAAAAGGTGTTTTTAGTTTTCCCGATTCCTCAAGCAAGTCAAAGCAACCGTTTCTGAGGGTTTTGTTGGACAAATAGGCCGCATTCAGTGCTCTCCATCTCCTGCCCCAGTGTTCTGTATGCACTTGTTCTTGCTTGAGAGAGATCGCAAAGTCAGTTGTTCCACCTCTCACCTCGCATCGATCCTCCCAAAATCACCAACATTCTCAGATCATCCGTAGAAATTCTTCATTGAAGCTTATCCAGCAACTAATATGACACAGATATCACAAAGGAGTCCCCAAATGAAGACCAACCTTTGGATCCCCGCCGATCTCACTCTGGCTCGTCACGAGGCTCTTCCGCGAAAAGAGCGGCATCGAGCGCTTCTTCGGGGTGAAACTGGAAAAGCAAATCCCTGCACAGGCCGGTCACGGGGTTGGGTGTGTGTGTGTGGCTCGAGTCAGTGCTGGCCCATATAGATAGTGACACCAAATAATTGATCTGGTCTAGGCATATTTGGAAATCGTTTCAAGTCGAAGCAACAGATTTCCCGCTGACCACGGCAGCTGACCTGCATTTGCAAGGCAGGAATGGGTGGCGGAAGCAGCAATGCAGCCACCGCTTTTTTTGGCCTGGAGCTCAGAGGAATTCAGAGGTGAGCAAGAACCCTTTTGAACTGTTTGATGCACCCAGAGGCTGCATGCCACAAGCACAAGCCTTGATGTCTCAAATACCAATTTTGAGGTTCCTACATGTTGCACTCTTGGTAGAAACACGATGAAACATGACTTGGGTACTTGGGTCATCCGACCTGAATCTATGTCGAAGCGTGGTTAGTTGCAGCGTAGCCTCCTGAAGAGACATGAGCCATGCCAGAAACCCTCCTTTGCGTTCAGTAATGACCCTCTCACCAGAGCTGGGTGCCAGAAGAGCTGGGTGCGAAAGGAAAACCTTGCAGTGCGTCAGGTTGCGAAAGCCTTTCGTGCTGTGGGTGCTGACACATGTTTTGCAAATTGCAATTGACTTAGGGGTAGAGGACGCTACTAGGGGCAAAGGGCATCGCTACTAGGAACAAGGGACGCTACTAGGGACTCCTGGCATCGCTACTAGGAGCAAGGATGCTAATTGTGGGCAATTGACTTGGTGTGGATTAACGATGAACCGGCCTTAGGGGCTTCTCGAGGGAAACGTTTCATAGGGAGCTCACAGAGTCGTGGCATGTTCGCACGTAGGCAACGCGTAGTCGTCTCATGTCCATCCACATGGTTCCCTAAACTCACCTTTTGCTAACTGCAGTGGCGCCAATAGCATTGCATCGTGGACCAGATCGACAACATCTTCTAAGTGTCCTTCCCTTGCTGACAAGGAGCAGCTCTTGGGGCTCCATTGTTGTAACAAACAAGTCGCCTAAGCATATTCCTCGCAGGTTCGCCAAACCAAGTGTGCAAAGTTCAGCTGCCAAGGGCCGTTTAGCATTTGGTTCCACCCACAAGAAAAACGGCCCTCAGAAATGCATCAGTTCGCACCATGCGAACGCACCAAGCTTTACCATGCCAGACTCTTCCCGTCAACCATGACCGCCAACAGCCACTTTGATCCAAGTCGACACCAGTCAGTGGGTGCAGCGAGCAGCGCAGCCTACTCAGTGTGCAGGTGCCAACCTACTTTGTGGCAGCCCAGCCTCGCCAGAGGACTGATCCCGCAGACTGCAGCCGTTGAACAGAGGAACCCCCATCCCCACAGTCACTGGCATTCATTGACTCTTGACACCGAGGTTTTCGATGGTTTTCTCCGATCATGCGCATGATGCCGCATGACTCCGTCTTCGTTCTTTCATGGTTTTCGCGGGGTTCTTGCAATGGCATATTCACACATATTCATGCTTATTCCAATAACCTCATGTTGTCAGTTCTCAGGGGTACCTTACAGCAATGCCTCCTTGTCCTCTCAAAAGCGACCAAATGTAACCCAAGTTCCTGGGGTGATACTCGGATCGCACGAGGTCGTCGATGGACCTTAACTGGAATTTCCCATCCAATGGTTGCCTTCTGACTGACTATCATGGGAGTGGAAAAACCACCTGCTTGCGTGAGGAGGAAAATGCTCTTTGCAGTTGCCACGTGTCCACTTCGATCCCTTCCATGGAACGTGAGTCACATGAGTCACGTGAGTAACGTGAGTCGTTACTATCTCCCAAAGCAGAAACAGCTTCTTCGAAGATCGTTTGGTCGAGGATCCAAAGGAACGAACGTCTCATCGTTCGTAGACTGGAACCAAACTTACTGGCTGTTAAGCAGGAACAGGGGAACCAAGAGGATTGAAGGA